ATCTATCTGACAGATGGCTTTCAGCCTTGGCTTGTATATTTCTGGCGACAGGGAGCTCACCTATTCACAAGACAAATGACTCCCTTGTGGCTTCACTTGAATTATTCACCAAAAACATACCTCGAGCAATCTCTACTCCTTGTCTCATTTCTATCCTTTGGGCCATAGAGAACAAATCAATTCCTTCTTCCATTTGAATGTGCCAATATAAACAACTGCAGTGATAATACTGGGCGCTGTGTCTTAGGCATATATCACCCACTAGGTATAATACTAGGAATTTTCCATTTATCTCACCACTATCTCACAACTCTTGGGGAAGGAGAATCTACTATCCCTATTTTATAACAAGAAAACTGAGGCTCATAGACATGAAAATGGCTTGGCAAAGTCAAATGACTGGTAAGTAGTGGCGCCAAGAGTCAAGCTCAAGTTCTCTCTACTTATAAAAGTGATGGATTTTCCTCTATACTGCACTGAAGAATAAGGACGTCCTTTAGACTGTCCTTGGTCTTCAATCTCTCCAGTTCCTTGCTGCTCCTCAGTGATGTGCCTCTCATTCCCCCATATCCTCTAGCTGAGCTAGCAGAGGTGAGAGAAGGAGGGAAATTGGGCAAGCTGGGCATGATCCCTGGAGGGTGCTTCCACTTCTTTACAAAAGCGGCTTTTGTTTAGGGTAAAAATCTGATGGCTATCCTGAGATCCAATTAGCTTTAAAAAAAAAATCCATCAATTCAAGGTGTCTAAAGAGAGGGGATTGGTGTCTAAGCTCCTTGTCTGTCTCCTATCTCTCTTCTAAAACTACAAAAAAAAAATTGTCTATAATTTCCCATTTGAGAGACATTTGCACAGGCAGGGACAACACACTGGAGGATTCTATGCCTCCCCCATCTTCCCTGGTTTGGGAATTTGCAGATCAATCAGACACGTGATAGTGGCATCACAGCTATGTCAGCTGTGAAATCAGCCAGGCCTGTTGTGCAATAAGTAATAGCTCTATTTGGTTTTGACTGTATAAATGTTGCCAAATTATTACCAAGTCAGTAAAACAAAAGAAATTTTAAGTACTGAGTTTACTAAAGTTCCAAGGTTAGGCAATAATCAAATAATCAAATCTCCTTTAAATGGCATCCTAGGACCCTCACAGAGGAAGGACTGGTTCTGTGTCTGTAGCCCATGATGACTGGGAGCATTGGGACCCACACACATTTAGCTTCATTATGTTAAAAGCAATCCAGACATTTGAGTGTTTACTTTAGAGGCAATGTGGCATGGTGTTAAGCATCCTGACTCTGGAACTAGACTGCCTGGGTTGGAATCCTGACCTGGCCACTTGGAACATGGTGACCTTGGCCAAGTTGCTTAACCTCTCTTGGTCTTAAGTAGGGATACTGTGAGGATTAAATAAGATATTACCCAGGATACATTTAGAAAGTTTAACCCATAGTAAGCCCTCAATGCATGCCTTTTCTGTGCATTATCTCATTTAGTCCTCAAAAAAATGCCTCCAGGTAAATATTGTTAGCATTCCCATTTTACAGATAGGGAAATTGAGGTTTAGACTGGTTAAGTGACTTGCCCATGGTAACATAAGGACTAGTGGTAGAAGGAGAATTAGAACTCATCTAGTGCTATTCTAGGGCCCATACTCTTCTATGCTACTTCTATTGGGATGCGGAAATATTGACATAAGACACTCAGCTTGGTGGTGGTGGAAGCCTTTCTGACTGGTTTGGGCTTTGCCAGCCTCTCCACTGCCTGAGCAATCAAGGGTAAGTGACAGCAAACAACCCAAGGGTCCAGGGCTCTAGACTGCACACTGCCTCCTTCTGGGGGCTGAGACCTACCTGGGTCCCTGATTTCCAAGTGGCAGTTAACTCTATGTGGAAATTCCAGGCCTCAATATATTGAAAAGAGAAAAGAGTCAGAGACAGCTAGAGAGTAGAAAATAACCTTATGAGGACACTCAGTGCCCCCAGAGGTGTGACGACTGTCGCAGGTGCGAAGGCATAGGCCCCGAAGTTGGCAACCTCTCCAGCAGCCACTAGGAAACAAAGGAAGAAAAGAAGCTAGTGTGGTGCGGATGCACCGTCTCCATTGGGTAAAACCGCTTGATTCAGTGCTCAACTATCCTTGGACTCCCACAACAGCATTCCTTAGAATCCTGATCCTTATGTTCTCTCCCTACAGAGTGTGGGCAGAAGGTCAGTCCCAGACGATTCTGATCAAATCCTCCCCCTTTAAAGATGGTAAAGCTGAGGTTCAGAGTCCAAAGTCACATGGCAAGTTTGCGGGTAGAAGTCTTCTTGTTCTTCAGGTCTCTTGGCCTCCAGTACAGGCATGGTTAAGTCTGTCCCAGGGACTGCTAATGTTTTGGACTATATCTTTAAGTTAAGTTCTAGAAAGTGGAAATTACTAATGAAGAAATAGTTCCATTTATTGATTCTCCAAGTACCCATTGGGCCAACAATCCCTCTTTCCTAGAGAAGCTGTGGGCACTCTTTCTAGACCAGGTGTCCTCAAACTACGGCCCGCAGGCCACATACAGCCCGCTTAAGACATTTATCCGGCATACCGGGTGTTTTTTTGCTGCCGCCGCCTGTCCTGCTTAACAGCTGACTCATCCTGGGACCTGCAGTCCAGCCCTCCAACGGTCTGAGGGACAGTGAACTGGCCCCCTGTTTAAAAAGTTTGAGGACCCCTGTTCTAGACTGACAGATGGTTAGAAAGCTGATATTCCCAAGGGGCTTCATTTCTCCCCATTTGTGGTCTACAGTTTGCAAACTCCTCCAAGTGCCTTTTCTGTCTCTGCTGTTAGAGAGCAACCTGGACCATGCTTCATGGACGAAGGCTGACTCAGAAAAAGGAGAGACGTTCCACAGGCAAAGGGTGACAAGATTTCCCCTTAGGAATCTGGGCCTCAGATTTATACTTTGCACAAGAGATAAAAATACCCCACCTATCTCTCCCTTTATCTCCATTCCTGCTATGAGTAGGCACCTGATATTAGGAGGAAAGAACCCACTTACTGGTGAGGAATCCAGCCCACCACATTGTATCCTTCAGGTAGCCATAGCCTCCGTCCACTGTTGAGGGAATAGACACAAAGTTAGGTTAGATCTTGGCCACTTTCTCTGGCACCTTTCCTAACTCAACCTTCAACACCTCTAGGTGTTCCTATGGTTTGTTTATGGGCCTTTTTCCTGGGTGACTTCATCCATTCTCAACTTTTTAAACACCATCTATAGGGGATACCCCTGCTCCATATCTGTAGACTGGATCTTTCTTCTGGGCCCACAAATATATTCACTGTTCATGTGACTTTTCCTCTTTGATCTCTCATAGGCATCTCAATCTCTCTTGTAAATGGAACTTTTTTTTTTTTTTGCAGTTTTTTTGACTAGGGCTGCGTTTGAACCCACCACCTCCAGTATATGGGACCAGCACCCTACTTTTTGAGCCACAAGCACCACCCTCTAAATGGAACTCTTTATTTCAAGTGTTCCTCACCCACCCATCAAATGAAACTCAGTAAATGGTACTTCCATATACTTAATTGCTAAAGCCAGAAACCAAGGACTTGCTCTCCCTGTCCTCCTAGGGACATCTAGTACAACCTGCTGGTTCTGTCTCCAAAAAGCAACTCACATGTGCCCACCCCACCATATCTCCTATACCAAGATAGCATCGTTCCTGGGTTGGGTTGAGCCAACGGCTTCCTTTGGGGTCACCCTGGTTCTACTCCTGTCCCTTTAATAACCCATTTATCTCAATGCAGCTCACGGTCTTTTAAGAATGTGAACCAGATTATGTCAGTCCTCATCTTGTGGCTGGCCAATGGCTTCCGAGTGATCTTCGGACCAAGGCCAGAATCCTTAACAAGACCATGCATAGTCTTGTACATGCTCACCTTTCCAAACACATCCTGCCATTCTTCTCCTTTTTCTTAGTTCTTCAAAAACAATTTGCTCTTTTCTGCCTCAAGGCCTTTGCACGTGCTTTTCCCTCATGTACAGAATGCTCTTCCTGCCAAGATTTGCCTGAACCCACACTCACTCTACAGGTCTCTGTATGACTGTTGTTTCCCCCGTGATGTCCTCTCTGACACTTGATCTCTGTTATTTCCCTCTGGGGTTCTCTTTCATAGTACCCAGTTCCACTGTTTCATGAAACTGTTATTTATAATTTGACTTGGTCCCCCACTAAAATGGAAGCTCCATGAAGCTAGGAATTGTGTGCTTTGTTCAGAGCCTGGTCCATAGTCAGTACTTAATAATATTAGTAATGATGATGATGATGGCAGTGGTGGTGGTTGTGATGATGGATGGGTCTGCGACTATTCTGTGAAAATCCAGAAACCATATATTGTTTTATGGGAATGCCCACTTTGGCTTTCATCAGGGTCCTGCAGGGGTTAGAGTCTCCCATAAACATTAAGAACTCTAAGAAGATTTACTTTAAGGGTTGAAATCACAGGAGACATCTAAATAGCAGCAGATTGGAAGAAAAAACTGATTCTAGGGGATTCATCTATCTGAATGGTCAATGATATCACCCCTGCTCTCCCTTGAGCGCAAGCAGACATTTTCCTGACCCTATGGGAGATCTCTGGCCTTGTGAGCACTTGTCCAGAAGTGAAGGACAGAGTAGCAGTGACCACCGCTCCTGACTTCATCCCTGCAGCTCACAGCTCTCCATCTGGGGTACACATGAGCACTAGAGCTGGGCACCTCACTGTCTGCAGTCCCCTGCCCCCCGATAATGCACCTACCAGTGCTGTTGCTTACTCTGTGCTGTGTATCTTTCTGAACATGTCACATTGTCTTATAACCCTTGAGGCTGGTTTATTCTTATCTTTATTTTACAAATAAGGAAACCGAGGCACAGAAAAGTGCTTTTCTTGCCCAGGATCATATCATGAGGAATCAAGAAACCAGAATTAGAACCCCAGTAGTCTGCTTCCCCGGCACAATGTCCCACAGAGACATTAAACAAAACGTGTCCAAACTTGAACACATCATCTTTCCATAAACCTGTTCTGCATCATTTGTCATCTCAGAAATTAGCACCAGCATCTCCCTGGTTGCTTAAGTCAAAAACCTGACTCATCCCTAACTCCTTTCTTTACCCTCCTCTTGACGTCAGTATACATCAAAGCAGTAAATCCTACCTTCAGAAACGATCTCTGGAATCCACCACTTGTCTCCATTCCCATCGCTATTTTCCAGGCCTATTTGTCCTCTTGCTCACTTAACTGGTCTCCCAGCCTTTTATCTTGTCCCTCATCTATTTTACATACAACCAGGGATCTTTGTAAACCCTAAATCAGACTGTGCCACTCCCTTGACTGAAACCTTTCGGTCAGGAAACCATGGAACTCAAAGTCTGTAGCCCAGTTACAAGACCCTTCCCGGGCCAACCTTCCCCTTCCACGCTCTAAGCATCCCAAACCACTTTCAGTTTCTTACATCACTCCTTGCCTCTCACCTCTGAGTCTTAGCACATGCTATTCCTTCTGCCTGGAGCACTGTGCCCTCCTCTTTGCCCCTTTACCTTGCTGTTTCCTCCTCAGGTTAGCGACCACCTCTGACAGAAAACCTCCCCTATACCCCTCCTAGGGTCTGGGCTTGACATGCCCCTCTAGAACCTGCCCACAGAAGTCCGCACCTTCCCCGTGATGGCACTTAACACACTTTGGAACAACTGTCTATTGGCCTGGCTCTTTCTCCCACTCAACTAAGTGTTCCAGAAGGTCTACCATCACCCCTGGCACACAGCGGGCACACACTAATGATGATTACATGAATGCCTTTACACATGATTCCTTCTGTCAAGAATTGTTTCATGGACACACATCTTACTTTCCAAACAAGCAAATCCCTTGTGGACGGAGACTCAACAATTCTTCTGTAGCCCACCAAAGGAGCTCAGCTGGACAGTGAGGGCACACCAGTGTCAGACACTGTCCTTAGTAGAGGTGTTTATATTCCCAGTTTGTGGAGAATTTATGACTTTCCTGTGATGGCACAGGCAGTAAGAAGTAAAACTAGGACTAGACCTAGAGCATCTGGTTCTCGGTCCTGAGACTTCTCCTCATCATCACTCTAGTGAGCATATCATGAAGTGTTGGAGAAATATTGCCTTATAAAGAGAGGTCCCCTGTTGGCAGGTGGGATTCCCGGTGGGTTGGCAAGGAACCTTTTGTATCCACCTGAGGCTGTCCTCTTACACTGCAGCCCTGGCCCTGAGAAGGAAGCTGGTTGAGGATTCAGCTGCCCCGCACCTCCTCTCTTCCTGTCCCCAGAAGCCTACCAGCCCGAGTGGCCCCTGTGGCCACGAGTCGCAGAAGGCCTTTCTTCTTGAGGATGACGCTGCTGCCGATGAGGAAGCAGGACAGGAATGCCAGGAACAGGCCGATGTAGAAGCCATAGTTCCGCCTGAACCTCTCCTGCCAGCTGATGGAGGTGGCATTGTTGGGTGCCTCAGGGCCAAGGTTACCTACGATCTGGCACACGACTTGCTGGGAGGAACAGTAGAGGTTGATCAGGGAGCCTGCATGGGAAGACCATGGTGAGAGAGTCATGCCGCGGACATTTGCACACTTTAAAAATATTGGAATCGGCTACTGTTTCAGACTCCCTGCCTCCCCTACTGTGAGGCGACACCCACACTGCACCCCCACCCCCAAATAATAATTAACATTCACCAAGTGCTACTCCAGCTAGGGGCTTAATACATACATGACCTAACCAAAGTTTTATAACCAAGTGTCAGGTATGTGGTATTTCCAGTCTCCATTTCACAGATGTATCCAGACGTGGAGGCAGTTAGAGGTCAGGGTCAGGTACTTTGCTTAAGGACAAAGCCTGACTCCAGAACCCCAGGGTGTGACCCCGATGCTGCACTGGTGGCTCACACCCCTGCAGGGCCACCCTCCCACCCTTCACAGGAACTCTTCCCAGCCTCTGGGCATGAGGGCCTCCACTAGCTCCTGTCCTTCCCTGGGATTCTATCCCTCCTGCAAGCCCGTTCACTTGCTACCCCTAAGCTCCAGCTGCAGTGGAAGGCCGAGCTGACAGTAGTACAAGGGAACAAGGCCAGGGAATCCACAGACTCCTCTAGACCTGAAGATGCCTCAGAGGTAAGCTCCTGTCTGTCAGGACTGACCATTCCCAGGCCTTGCTTCAGAGACATCTGGTACTGTGGTCAGTGCCAGGTTCGTCTTCAGGCTACAAAGGAATTGGTGTCCCTGCCACTCAGACAGACTCTGTCTTTAGTTTCCTCTCCAAGTCCTAGAGTCCCCAGGAATCCAAATTAGACCTCATCCCATTCTTGATTACTCTTCCAGGCCAAATACCAAGGAGAGCAAGGACAGACCTAGGCCCAATGGGGCAGAACCTCAATCAGAAGAATCACGCAAGTTCAGTGACAGAATGCCAAGAATAGCCAATCATCTTCCAGTGCTGCTACTCACAGGGTCCCTTGCTCTGGAGGTTTCTACCCACTTCCCTGAAATAGGCACAATGATCATGTCCAGGCTTTTAATTGAAGAAACTGAGGACCTGATAAGTCCTATAACCTGCCTAAAGCTACCTGGCAATAAGTGGTGAAGTCAGAATTGGACTTTAAACCCATCTGATGCCAAAGCTCATGCTCTTAACTGTCCCAATAAAGCATGCAGCAAAGAAGGGAACAGGGATTCATATGGTCTCCTGAGGTATTTCAAAACATGAATTTGTTACCAACATTTTAAAATTGGGAGATTTCCCATGAAAACTCAGATTTGGGGCTATGCTTCAAAATCAGAAAATCTGTTTACCATACAGGGTATGCCCTCCCATAAAGCAACAACTGGTTGTAGCTGTGCTTGAGTTTGTGGCCTCTGGAAGCAGAAGGCCTTTTTCAAATAGTATGTCAAGATGGCCCAGGCCCCTGTGCCAAAAATGTCA